ATGACAGAACGCTTGGAGCAGCGATGCTGCCTCAAGTTTTGTGAGAAACACAAATGTTACTCACTTTGAGGGCCTGTGCCATGTTTTGCTGCATCAGTCTTCTCTACTTGTCGTTTCAGAGTTCTGTATGGTATACAGTATTCTTGTACGGCAAATTCTAATTCCAGTGACCTCTGTTAGAGGTCCTTATATAGATTCTAGGTACTTACTTTATAAAAATGAAATATACAATAATCGTTTATACTAGTGATCTTGACCGAAAATAATAATGACATATTTTCTGAGGATCGGGATATGATATCACTTCATTCACGTGACTTAATATGGCGTTATCATTGATAATTCTTTCTTTGAAACATACAAGTCTCATTAAACATAGCAGTTTCACTGTTCTTTTTACATCGAAATCAATATCATCACTTTAGAATAGGTCTTCAGCAAATCTGGCATTTACATTGATTTATTTTTCCGGCCTTAAACTCGAGAATCCGGTCTCAGTGCTGCAATACGCTTCTACCCATCTTCAGGTTTTATTATTTTGAAAAAATAAATGAATATACAAAAAGTGCCTAGGCAATGCCCATCCGGCCCTCTGTAGCACATTCTTCTAAACATCTTATTCTATCATAGCGGTCGCGCCACCACTTAACTCTAAGAGTATACTATTAATATTTTGTCTTTAGGCTCCTACAGTTCAATTGAACAATCTTAATTGGTTGATTCTCGTTGAATTTTGTTGTAACGGTGCCCGTGAAGCTCGACGGCTTTCCACAGGTGTCTTACCATTGCTTTAGCGTCCCCGGAGTTTATCACTAAATTAATGTTCGTAACCAATACGTTCTTGGCTTCGTCCTCCATCTGAATGAACTCCAAATCCTCTAAAGTTTTCTCTAACATTTTCTGGTAAGCGGCCTCCGTAGTCTAGAGGTAACGTTCCAGCCTCATGACTTGTGGTACGCGGGTTCAAACCCGGCGGAGGTCGTCGAATTTTTAAGGGCGGAAAAATTCAGGGAACAAGTCCTCCGGGAGTGACTTTAAGCCGTGTGTTTCGTGTCGTAGCTTTACGGCACGTAAAAGAACCTCATATCTCCAAAGGAGGTCACTGAGCCAAATACAAGGACGTTTCCAGCCCAACAAGTAGTCTCTAACACCTCTGATAGATGTGGGAAGCATTATAGATACCGCCAAGCTAGTGGAGGCCGAACTCGCTGGCTCGGTCGGGACTGATGGTATCCTCGGAAGCTTTCAGCACCTGAAGACCCCTTCAAGGACTGGTAAACTACCTTTTGTCGCCATCTCTTGCCGTTCTCTCCAACTGGGAAAAAATAGGAAATTTTCTATTACTATCTTATCCCGATGTACCCTATATAATAGCGAAGGACGGCCGCGCCACAGCTCAAGCGGTTAGTCACTGGCTTCCCACAGCGGCGGCCCGGGTTCGATCCCGTGTCTGGTCAAGAGGGATTTGTGGTGGACAAAATGGCGCTGGGGCAGGTTTTCTCCGAGTACTTCGGTTTCCTCTGCCAATCTTCATTCCACCAATTGCTCCACAATCACCCTCACCTATCTTCTGGGGCTGGTACAATAGGCCAGAAGTGGCCGCAGTACAAGGGACTTAGTCCCACCCCACTAGCAATAAAAAACGTGAAAGACTGGAAACTTCAGATTTATTGGACACCAAGATGCCGTAATGTCTGTCTAAAACAAAACTGAGGATTCGTTTTACCTTGAGTAGCCAACGTCAAGGAGAAGTGTTCTACACGATCGACCAGATCTCAAGTAAAGCGAATTTGGTTCCCAGCGTATGCTGAGATCAGAGTGTAATAGAGTTGTAATGACGGCTTAAAGATCTGCGTATACTCTGAAAGATGTTTTATACATACAGTTATTGATTAATGCTGTTCATAGCCACCTCTATGAGAAATTCAATCTCTGCTGTAGGAGTTGCGCCTGAAGATTTACGTTTCGATTACAGGCAATACATTATTGCCGGAGAAGTTGCAGCAGCTAAGGCTCCATGCAGCCATGCCATCCGAAACTGCAAAGAGAAGTACTAGTGACGAGAGTGGTGTTGCTCCGAGTGGAGTGACTTTCAAACTAAGTTCAATGGAAATGGGCTAATTACTTCAAAAGATAGTAGTTACAGAAACAGGCTATCCAGACATGGACATGATGAAATATAAGATGTAAAAGGTAATGACGATGGTATATAAATACTATAGCATGTAGACCCGTTGCTACGTAATGATTCTGTAACCAAAGGCAGTTGTTAGGTAATGACCGTAAGAAGTAACACAGGAATGATATTCTCTACGGTGTCCGTGTTACAGCTACGCGATGCAACAATAGAAGCTCTGTTTGGAGAGGTGTCTTCTATGCGGTCTATACCGAGGCTATATAACGAAGAGCAGCTGCGATTACGAGAGAGACAACAAGTAGAAGGCATACAAAATCATGAAAATGAGAATGTTCGCAACATCGGACAAGGCGAAGCACGACACAAAGTATAAGAGGCTTAAACTTGGCGGCGGTCAGGCATACGACCGTTCAAGTGACTTGACTGCCGTGGTAGCGAATAATACTAGAAACAGGGCATAATCTGCTGTACTGAGCCTGGATTGACAGAGGCCTTGATTATTTTGTACATAGAAATAGGAATTAAGATTACATTTATAAATATATGTAAATACTGACAATGTACTCACTAATACGGACTATGACTTACAAATGACAGACCCGACCTCTCGTCAGAGAGGGCGCCCCAAATTGACGGGACAGCAACTTACATATAAGGAAAAAAAACAAAAAGAAAAAATCTGGTCATGAACCCCAGCTGGGGCTCGACACCAAGACAGACTGACTGACCGTCAGTCGCAATGTGACTTTGTCTTGACTTTGACTTGATTACTAGAGAGTTTTCAGATGGCAGTTAGAAGAGTAGGAGTTAGTTGTGAGACAGTCTGCGGCCAGTAAGGACACGGCGCTGCAAGCCGTTACCAGGCGACAAACGGTGAAGATACAGCAGACTGTGAAGACTTTGTGCGTGCTGTAGTGAACTCTAGAGTCTGTGAATTAGCGCTAGCCCTATAATTATTTGTAGTTACGATCTATAAGTGTTGAATTAATCCAATTACCAATCCAAACCCTGTTTATAGCCACTCCGTACGCGCGGCAATACAATTATTGTGTTTCTGGACGTTATGCATTGTCCTGTTCTTTATTTAAAACACGTTTCTTAGACTGGATTCTGTCTCCGTCTTTGTGTGGAACCTACTCACTTGGGCCCAGTCGATAGAGTTAGATCCGGAGATAAGCACTAGCTTAATCGATTGGGCCAAACTCAGTAGGTTCCACATGAAGACGGAGACAGAATCCAGTCTCCGAAACGTTACGTGTTTCAAATAAAAGAAACATGACGACGGATAATGTCCAGAAACACAATAAGTGTATGAGAGAATATGATTCACTTTCTCTGCGAAATATGTAACAGCCATAAACATTTCTTCTATTCTTATGATGCCCTCTGTTCTTTAAGCTCAAAGGTTAACACAGTAACGTAATCAGAAATGGTCTAATTTAATAGCATGTATTTTTGTAGCATCGCTTCTGCCAGTACAATCTCAGAATAAACTGATGAAAACAAAGAAACGGGCTGGGTTCATCCTGCAGCATATATATGTGATTCCTCATTATTTTCTTTCGCTCCCTCCGCATAACAGAGCCACTTCTGCGTGTTTATACCCCACCCTCCTTGCACACTCTCTCCCGCCCACGAGCTATTATGCTGTGTCATGTAAATATTAACACATCACAACCAAGCTGGCCTCCTCTTCTGTCGATGAGTGGATTCTTGATGGGAACAGGAAGTCGGTCCTGTCTGTAGCAATAAACAGTGTGGCCCCCACATCTACTGATGGGTATCATATGCCTAACATGTTAGCTACTTCAATGGTAGACTAACACACCGAAGGAGCTATGAGGTGATTACATGGATGTGAACAGTGTTTCAAAAACTGTTGATATATTCCAGCTTTTGTAAATAGTGTATGAACTATGTTGTATAGGGGAGTCCAAAGTATATTTTTCGGGTTAATGTTACAGCTGCATACCTGACTTGGAACTCATATAGAGAGTACCCCGGTGACAAAACTTGGGGAGGCATTTAATCAAGTGACTGAACGAAAAAATCATATATCAACATGAGAAGTACCATATTTTGTGCTGTCACGTCGTATAATTCGGAAAGAGCCCGACGATTAGGAGCAGGCTCAGCTTTACCGGCTCCTTTTACTGACGTCTTGCTAGGCTTACTCATGGATCATGAAGAAGGAGTCAATATGTTCCTTTGAAACTTTAGAATATCTTCGAACTACGCTGCGCTAGAACCCAGACAGCCACATTCGCAATTTTAATGTGTACTTAACGACTAGCTATGGGCTCAACGACTGAGGGGTCGGAGTTCGAGTCCCGGTAGGGTCAACAATTTTCTCTACCTCGTCCAAACGTGCTCTGCGGCCCACACAGTCTCGTATCCAATTGGTACCGGGGGTTCTTTCCCTTTAGATAAACGCGGCCGGGGCTTGAAGCTGACTACTCAACAACAACTAGTGCTGAGGTCAAGAAAAACGTGGATCTATACATCCACACCTCCATATATCTTCATGGTATAGTGCTGAATTAGTTAAGCACAAGGACAACTTTGCCTTTTACCTTTGCATAACGTATTCAGGACTATCTTCTACACAGACCCACTTATGATGAAGCAGCATTCCTCCAAGGGTTTTAATTAATGTAGATTGATGGATACCGTTTCGCACAGAGAAGTACACTAACTGCTCTGCCAGTTTCATTTTTATTTACAGCGATCCATTAAAATTTCTGCTTTGGAAGATGAAGGACAAAATTTCTGCAATACTTTTCATTAAACAGGCCAGTACCTCAAACAGAATAGTAAACGTGATAGACCTTAATGTTTATATCAAATGTGTTTCTCTGTGCAGTGCTGCCATCTGATGGAGTGCACCTGTCTACATCAGACCGTGGAAGTGCCTCTGTTGGTAGCGGGGGATCCAATAAACGCAAACGTTCGTGGTCACGAGCAGTTTTCTCCAATCTACAGCGAAAAGGCTTAGAGAAGAGGTTCCAGCTTCAGAAGTATATTACCAAACCTGATAGGCGACAGTTGGCAGCCACGCTGGGACTCACGGATGCTCAGGTATGTGTCATAAGCTTCCGTCTTTAGTTGTGTTGTAAAATTTGCCCTTTTCCTGCACCAGTCAACTGCATAAGGTGTATATGGACACGTGATAAATCAGTATTATGTGTATAGGTTGCACAGTGTATACACATGCAGCTGATTCCAAGCAGAACAAACCACGTGTTGGTTGTAATGGAGATTTTTTGTTTATGTTCTCTAGTTTTAGTGGTCACATGACACACTAATAACCAGGCAGGAGAATTTGCCATAAAATGAGATGATGCCTTGTTTTAAGGTACGATCCCAGTATTTGCTTGGAGGGTCAGCAGAATGTCATGAGGAAAACCCTGAAGCAAGACAGCTGCTCAAGGGCCATGCCATAGCTCAAGCAGTTAGTCGCCGACTTCCCACAGTGACGGTCCGAGTTCAAACCCGGGTCTGGTCAAGTGGGATTTGTGGTGGACAAAGTGGTGCTGGGGCAAGTTTTCTCTGAGTACTTAGGTTTGCCCTGCCAATGTTCATTCCACCAAATTCTCCATCATCATAATCACCCAGGGCAGGCTACAATAGGCCAATCAGTGGCCGCCGTGCTGAGTGGACCCAATTGGAGTATACCCCCCACTATGCGATGACATCTGCTCTCTAGACAAAACTGGGCCCATCAACCCTAGAATACAGAGGAGCATAATCACCACTAGACTGCAATGTGTGGGTGGAAATGTTTAGGATCCTGGACATTTTCACTTTGGTGAAGGTTTCCTCACAACTGTATGCTTCTGCATCAACCAGGGGTTAATGGTGAAGTGGATGTGTCATTGGAAGAAGTCGAAATTATCATATACACAAGGATAGTGGAAATACCAGGCTTCTATAATAACAAACGTAGGATGTCTCAGTGATACATTTGTAAGAACATAAACCCAAATGTTTTCTAATATACTAAGCGCACTACTTAAAACTACAATTTTATTTACCTTGAAATATGCGTTTAATATTCTCAGGATTCAAATATTTGGTTTTCAGTCTGGATCAGGGCAGTGGATAGCCTGACCAACATTGTACGTGGTTTTCTTCAAGCCTTTCGGGATAGTATCTCAGTAAGGCCATGACCACATCTTTCCAAAATCTTTCAAATTCATTATCTGTCATTCTACCATTCCAAGCTGTATACTATATCTTCTGACAGTGTCAGTTAATAACCCAAAAAATAAAACAAACATACTTTCTTAGTTGTCTTGTAGGTATTACAGTTTCATATATTTTGTGTGAATTTTTATGAATGGAAATCAAGGAATGATTGTGCTTCCTATAGATAAAGATTGCGCCTATTATTGGTCACATCTAGAATATAATATTATCTGTCTGGTTTTGTTTATAATTGTTGTGAAGGGCACCTGATTTTTGACGTTGTTTGTTTCGGTGTCGTGTCTGTGATTTGGTTTGATGTGTTACTTGTTTGTGTTTTACAACTGTTAATGTACTACAATTATATGTGGCCTTTTTAAATGTCTTGGATATTTAATTTTTAACAATTTATCATTTTAAATGTACTTTTTATTGACATGTTCTATATCTCAAGGCAGCACTGCCAATTGTAGATCTCTGGAACGAAATAAATATGTATGTGTGTATGTGTACTTTTTGTCTCAAAGAAAGAGGATTCTTAAAATATTTTAACACAAGTTATAATTATAAGGAAAGGAGTTAGTGCACCTGCTTCCTATTTTGGACAGTTGCAGTGCAAGTGTCAGACACTAGAATATCTTCTAAAGTTATTTTACGTTTTCTTCAATCCTTGGCAAAGAAAATAAGAAAGAAAGAAAAACAGTTGTACCATGATGTGTGCCATGACCATGTCTGTCCAGATCCATTGCATCTCATCCTTTCATTCCTCATTCCATGCTTTGTAAGAAGTATTACTGAATAAATTAGGAAGGAAACGAGAAACATGGTTCTTTGCCCAATCAAGTAACTTTTCATAGTCTAATGAGTTGCCTTAATAATAAGAGCAATTTCTACATCATACTTAACTCTTCATGACCAAACTTCTGTATGTATTTAATCTATTATCCAATTCTCCTGACAAATCCTATTTAATGTATATATCCCCCTTTCCTGTCCTTTGACTTCAGTAGGAGTTAGAATTCAAGGACATGAATCCAGAACTGTGCAAAATAAAATAAATGAGTTAATATATTGATTAATGCGTTATCATACGTTGATCCAGGTGAAGGTGTGGTTCCAGAATCGGAGGATGAAGTGGCGGCACAGCAAGGAGGCCAAGCACCAGCAAAGTAGTAACAGCAGTAATGAGAACAGATGTGCAAGGGAAGAACAGGGTGGACCAGATTCAACACAGGAGCCAGAGATAGACATCCAGACTGTGGACAGCTGAAAATAGAAAAGAGTATAAATGCAAGTTAGCTAAGTTGTTGAAACTGGGAAACAAAATAGGAACAGAATTAATATATCTGTTAAACAAACTCTACTGTGTGTTGATAGCAGGTCCATGTCAGGATGCCGCTATGTGAGACAGAATAAGGAACACAAAACCAGCATATAAGATCTCTGACAACTGACAAGACTACAACTCATCTGTAAATGCATGGTGAAATATATGAGAAGGCATACTAAGTTTTGTGTTATGTATCTTCACATCTTGCATATTATCCACTCCTATAAACTTACTTACTTACTTACTCAAGGAACTGAGCCCTTCTGGAGGAGCCGCCAATTCTGCAGCTACTCAAGAATTTCCCAGCATTTTATGGAACTTGAAGGTTCATTAGCGTGTTCACAAAAGCCCTCCACTGGTCCCTATCCTGAGCCAGATCTATCCAATCCATACCATCCCATCCTATCTCTCTACGATCCATTTTAATATTGTTCACCCACCTAAGCCCTGGTCTTCCCTGTGGTCTCTCTCCCTCTAGCTTTCCCACCAATATCCTATATGCATTCTTCATCTCCTCCATTTGTGCTACATGCCCTGCCCACCTCATCCTCCTTGACTTGATCATTCTAATTATACTTGGAGAAGAGTACATGTTATGAAGCTCCTCATTATGCAGTTTTCTCCAACCTCCTGTCACTTCAGCTCTCTTCAGTCCAGATATTCTCCTGAACACCCTGTTCTCAAACACCCTCAGTCTATGTTCCTCCCTTAATGTCAGAGACCAAGTTTCACACCCATACAGAACCACAGGCAAAATTATAGTTTTGTATCGCATAAACGTACTTTAATTTCTTCAAAATAAGGAAAGTATGCTAAAATGGGTTCTTCTTTGTTTATGAAAGAAAACAGACCTAAATCTAGGCTTTGCAGACCAAGAAATGGCTTCGGAATATTTTCAAATTTGAGTATCTAGGAACACTATTAACAGTATGGAAATGACATCCAAGATGCAATTGGGAGAAGAATAAATTCTAGAAATTTGGGTTATTATTCAGTTTCTCTATCACAACGAATATATATGGTTTATCCCATATACGCCCGTAATTCGTAATCAAAACCAAAGATCAGCATATACAAATAAAATATTTTCACACTTGTTTTTATGTGAAACGTGATCTCTGAAGGACGTGAAGTACAAATGCTTAATAGCAAAATGTCCAAGAAAATATCTGAGCTCGAGAGCAGCTGCATAGAGAA